GCTTTCTTCAGTTTACAAACCTTGTCTATTCCAATGATATCTTGATAACCAGGAGGTGCAACCATATACACTTCCTCAGTTAGTTCCCCCTGAAGAAAAGTGTTTTTGACATCCATCTCCATAACTCCCAATCAAAGTTAGTAGCAAGGGATAAAATGACACGAACAGAAGATAATTTAGTAACTGGAGCAAATGTGTCGGTATAGTCTTCCCCATAGGTTTGAGTAAAACCTTTAGCAACTAACCGTGCTTTATATCGCTCAACCTCCCCATTACTCAAGTGTTTCACCTTGTATACCCATTTGCAACCAACTGGACGTTTGCCGTCGGGTAGAGTGGCCACTTCCCAAGTGCCATTGCGTTCCAGAGCTTGAATTTCCTCATCCATTGTTGTGCGCCACACATGGATATGTTTGGCTTCTTCATAAGAAGAAGGCTCATCTTCACTTTCAACTAGACATAGGAACGCCTGATGACAAGTTGGAAAAGAAGAGCAGTCATCATAGAATTGAATGGGGTGTGCAACAGCATACCCATTGTAGTAGACTCGACGGTTACTCCATTCGGAGATTGGTGCGCGTGGCCTAGTGCTTCTGCGAAGTGTAGGAGGATTGGGATGATCAATTGGGTGAGATTGCTCCATTGAGGAGGACACCTCTGATTCAGGTGAGCTTGTCTCCATATCATCTTGCAATGTTGAGTCGTGGTTGTCATTGTCATTATCATCCTGAAACGGTGTAACGTTATCAGTTGAAACAAGGTCTTGTGATACAGACGGTACCTCACAATCCATTTGGGAATCCTCTTTGGCGGCATCCTCACTAGACTGAGATGTGCTTGATGATTGACGGTGTTGTTGGAGTTCATTAGTAGGATATAACATGTGATCTAAAGCTTGTCAGAATGACCTAAACTTGTCTTCTTGAGATGTAGGAAGGTCTTCAATCGTATTCCATGATTGAGTATCATAGTAGCTTAGATCTTCATGAAATATCACCTCCCTTGACACTCGAACACGATTGGCAATTGGATCAAAGCACTTATAGCCCTTTTGTGTGGTAGAGTACCCAACAAGAATACATTTTTGACTCCGTGCATCCAGTTTACCACGTTGATTTTCTGCAAGAAACACGTAACAAACACATCCAAAAACTTTAATGTGTTCAAGTAATGGCTTACACTTGTTAAGTACCTCAAAAGGAGACGATTCTGCGAGACACTTTGTGGGCAGCCTGTTAATAAGATAACAAGCAGTTTGTACAACATCTCCCCAATGTTTTCTTGGCACATTTCGATGAAACATCATAGCCCTTGCCACCTCAAGGAGATGACGATTTTTGCGTTCTGCAACTCCGTTTTGCTGTGGTGTATTTGGGCAGGTTGTTTGATGAGTGATGCCTTGTTCTGCAAGATAATCCTGAAATTCTCGATTTGTATACTCACCTCCATTATCAGTTCTAAAAACCTTGATTTTGGCATCATAATGGTTAGCAACATACTTATGAAACTTCTTGAATGTTTCAAAGACGTGACTTTTAGATGGCATAAGAGTGATCCATGTATACTTAGATCTTTCATCTATAAAAGTAACAAAGTACTTATGCCCATCACGTGAAACAGTTGGGGATGACCATACATCAGAATGAATGAGATCAAAACAATTCTCATATGTAGTGATTGATTTAGGAAAAACAGTTCGACAATGTTTTCCAAGGATACATGCTTCACATTGAGAATGATCAAACTGGATATGAGGTAACAAAAGGGAGAGAGCTTTTTTATGAGGATGGCCTAGTCTAGCATGCCATATGGAACTAAAACAAACATTTGAAATAGAGTGAGGCTGGATGAAATATAGATTGTTCCGAGCGATACCTCTCCCAATTTCATGAGATGTCTTAGTATCCTGAAAAACAACCTCATTAGTGCGAAATATGACAGAACATTGGAGATCACTACATATTCGCGCAGTGGAAAGAAGATTAGTAGTGAAATCTGGAACATATAGAGCACTAATTTCTCGGTTAAATAGCATCATAGTTCCTTGTCCTTTAATCTGAACTTTCACACCATTTGCTACAGTGATATCTCCATCTAGATGTGTCATATTGTGAAGCAATCTTTTGTCACATATTATATTGTTTGTTGCTCCTGAGTCAATAAACAGATTCTTAGTACCATGGTGTCCAAAAAAGGCCATACCTGAGTCTTTTTGCTCCTTGAGCAGTTGTGGAGTTTATTGAAGTCTGCCTTAGTGACAAATTCAGATGTTGAAGTCGCCATAGCTGATTCTTTTGTAGGATTACCATGAGGAGCGTTTTCCATGAACCTTGATGGTTTGAGGTGAGGATGAAGGATCCAGCACTTGTTCTTTGTATGCCCAGCCTTATTGCAGTGCTCACAAACAATATGTTTATTGAGTTTGTTGGAAACATTAACCTTTCGGTAGTGAGCAATTTCACATGTCCCTTTGAACAGCTTCTTTGCGCCTTCTTCTTTCTTAATCATCGCACAAACTTCAGAGAATGATGGAAGCTTGTCTTGGCGTATGATATGCTGAACAAGATCACCATATGAGTGGTGAAGAGAGGAGAGCAGAGCAAAAATATTATCTTGCTCTAGACGTTCAGCAACAATCTTGGGATACGTGGATGGAGGACGCAACTCATTAAGTTCAGCACGAATCGTGTTGAATTCTCCCAAATGCTTGACGAACAGTTTGTCCTCTTGATGAATATTATGTAGAGATTTCTTCAACTCATAGATTCGTGTCAGATTGGAGACATTACCGTAGGCTCCTTCAAGTGTTTCCCACAGCTCTTTGGCAGTGTTGATGTGCACATAGCTTGAGAGAACATCATGATCCATGAAGCAATGAAGGATGGCAAGTATCATTTGGTCTTCTTGAAACCATTTTCCAGATTGCTCGACAACTTGGGAAGCTAATTGATCATCTCCAGATGTTTCAGCTTCGGTTGCCTTACTTTTGATGTCGACAACATGTTTAGAGTGCATCCAAACAGACTTAGAGTGCATCAAAACATGTTTAGAGTTCGTCGAAACATATTTAGAGTGCATCGAAACATGTTTAGAGTTCGTTTAAACAAGTTTGGAGTGCACCAAAACACGTTTAGAGTGCGTCCAAACACTTTTAGAGTGCATCCAAACATGTGTAGAGTGCATCAAAACTTTTTTAGAGTGCGTCAAAACATGTTTAGAGTGCGTCGAAACATGTTTTGAGTGCAACAAAAGATGTTTAGAGTTCGTCGAAACATGTTTAGAGCACGTCAAAACATATTCAGAGCGCATCCAAACATGTTTAAAATGCATCGAAACATACTAAGAGTGCATACAAACATGTTTAGAGTGCACTAAAACAATTTTAGAGTGCGTCGAAACATATTTAGAGTGCGTCGAAACATGTTTAGAGTTCGTCTAAACATGTTTAGTGGGCACCAAAACACGTTTAGAATGCATCCAAACACATTTAGAGTGCATCCAAACATGTTTAGAGTGCGTCAAAACATACTTATAGTGC